TCCATCACAGACTGTTATAAACTAGGTCTCACGGCTCTCCTAACCAAAATTCATCTTGGCTGCATATATAGCATAGAAGCCATCTGGTTAGAAGAATCATAGCCGATAGGCCATGAGCTTTTATGTGTTTACCACAAATTTTTCTAGGTAGTTTACATGCCATAAAGCTAAACTCAAAATTTAAAAAAAATTGCTGCCCATTGCTTTCTACCCAGTGGCAACCACAACTTCGACCCCTCAGTTCTTTTGGAAATAGGAACTCACCACTAGCAAAATAAAAAAAATTATCTGATGCGAAAACTTTAATGTTGTGACTATAGGTTTTTATTTTTGATTACTCTTGTTTTTCCTCATTCCTATCTTCTATAAAAAGCTAAAGACTTCTCAAATGGTCTCAAAGTTGATTTCTGTATTTATCTATAACAAATGATGCCGCGTTTTACATAGTACATACTGTAGAACCATTCAGATCAGTCCTTGTGTCCTGAAGGAGTTCAAAAGCTACTGCCCCTTCCACATACATACAAACTAGGGACAATACTGAGAGGAAGACAAATAGCCTACCAGTATGTTTATGAATTGAGGAAGAACCAAATGACCAGGAGAAGAATATACTAACTCAGTGTCAGCCAGAGTCACAACACTGCCAGCTCTGTTTAAAGACTGTTCAATAGGTTTTAGAATCTTATTAGATTAGCTCGGAATAAAACCATAACAGAAAATAGGTTCAGGTGATGAACATTTCCTTTTTAAAGCAAAATGTCTTTAAATATTGTATTATACCAGGTTTTGTAAAAACTAACAAAACAAAAAAAAATCTCAAATAGCCACCAGAGATTACTGCACCCTAATATACAGAGAAGTAATGATAAGGACCACAGTAATAAACATGCAGGTCATGAATTAGAGGCTCTAAGATCACAATTTGAAAACAAAAGAACATATAAGCACCTTAGAAGATGCCCTACAGTTTATTTACTTTACAAATGCCACCACACAAAAACTGTATGTGCTTGGTTTTGTAGACTTGATCACTGACACCTACAGTAACTGACCAGGGAAACAAATCTTTGTGTGAAATTTGAATTTAAAATAGCCTAAGGATGATCAAGTAACCTAGTGTGCAAAAAGTGATTTGGAAATTTTAAACCTGCAAAATATTTTCAGAATCTGACTTATTTTTTAAATTTAGCGGTGTGACCAATGGGCATATCTTTCCCATGGACTGAAGTCAAATAATAACACACCTCTGTCACATACTTCTGCACAAAGAAAGTGATCAATGTCATGTGCAGAATCCCCAAAGGACAATGCATCAAATGACCATGAACCCTTTGAAACAGAGATACCCTATTAATTTACTTCTCCAGGCAGTTCCAATATGCAAAACGTAGGGAGGTGAAAGAACGACAACAATCACAGACATCAGCTGAATAAAGGAAACAAAATGATCCTTACTTTTTATGTCCTAATTAGATTGTAACATTCTGAGCACCTTTTGTAATGTGATGCAGGATATGTTGACACTACATCCTTCTAAACCAGGATTTTGTTGAACTCCAAAGCTTTTCCTGAGGTTGCTAGGAGTTCCCTGAGCAGTGATCAGTGGTACACTGACCTCCCAACTGATAGTAACTACATAGTTGCAGCAGCATTGTCCCTCAGATAAGTAACCACTGACAAAAAGATAACAATGCCTGCTTATTTACAGCTAAGAGCAAACACTCATCAGCAACATGTGCCAACATTAAAACTCTCTTAATATTCTACTTATATATCAAGATCTGATGAAAAGGGCACTTTTGCACCTCCAAAATACATTGTGGCTGATTTACCAAAACTAGAGAATGCAAAAAATCTGGTGCAGCTCTGCATAGAAACCAATCAGCTTCCAGGTTTTCTGTCAAAGTTTAACTGAACAAGCTGAAGTTAGAAGATGATTGGTTACCATGCACAGCTGTACCAGAGTTTGCATTCTCCAATTTTAGTAAATCAATCCCATTGACTCAATTAACAGATCTCATGTGAACCTTCAATTGGAATAAACAATTTTGGACTTGAACATTCTGGTCAGACACTACTCTTTCCTTCTTCCAATGACTATCTTTATAGCTGTCAGTGGGTGTTTCCACTGACCACCAGTGTACAGAGCATTCTTCCCACTAACTACTAGTGTAAATGCTTTCTTTCCGCTAACCATCAGTGTAAGGGGCATTCCCCCCACTATCCACCAGTGTAAGGGGCATTCCCCCCACTAACCACCAGTGTAAGGGGCATTCCTCCCATGGACCACCAGTGTAAGGGGCATTCCCCCCCACTCACCAGCAGTGTAAGGGGCATTCCCCCCACTCACCACCAGTGTAAGGGGCATTCCCTCCACTAACCACCAGTGTAAGGGGCATTCCTCCCATGGACCACCAGTGTAAGGGGCATTCTTTCCACTAATATCCAATGCAACAGGGAATTCTTCCCACTGACTATGTAACAGGGACTTACCAATGTAAGGGGCATTGTGCCTTTCATGGAGTACAAATATAAGAAAGCATTTTTCACACTGACAATAAATGTAAAGGGAAACCTCTTCCACTAATCAAGAATGTAAGAATTTTTGACAAGGATTCCCCGAGACCTCAAAATAAATTGCTCTAGAGTGAACAGCTTTAGAAAGACGGATATAATAAAGTAATAATGGTACACACGCAGTATGCCCAACAAGCTAAAACATTTATTAAAATTGGACCAAACTAACAATCTATGATTTGTACTGAAACCCTAAACTGTACCTGGGAGGTGTAGACAGAACACATTTGCTCATCTGCCCTGCCGCCATTCGACCAGAGAATGCCAAAATGTTAGGAAGGTGCTCTCACTTAAAGCTGTAACAGCATGACAATGATGGTATAAGGCAAGAATAGGCATCCAGTTATAAAGTGCAAGAAAGTTTCCACTGACACACTGGGGTTGATTTACTAAAACTGGAGAGTGCAAAATCTAGTGCAGCTGTGCATAGAAACCAATCAGATTCTAACTTCAGCTATTTCAATTAGGCTTTGACAAAAAAAACCTGGAAGCTGATTGTTTTCTATGCAGAGCTGCACCAGATTTTGCACTCTCCAGTGTGCAAGAGGACGTAAAGTAACTCAGCTAAAGGATAGAATTTTAACCTCTTTCCTTCCACCCAAAGCCTATAAAATGGTGGACGAGAAGCTGTGCTGATACAGGCTAATGTACCTGTATGTCAGCCCACATCTGTGGCTCCTGTGAGGCTCACAGAGCGTGCACCCAGGAGCCTGGAGATCCATGTATCACCGGGACACACAGTGGATCACATACCTGCTGCGGCCGGGTAATTGATTGCTTTGTCCAATCACAGCAATTACATATTAAACCATGTAAAACTGAAAGTAAGCATCGGTTCTCTCTGCTTTCACTGTGATAACAGAGAGAACTGATGATGCAGCCTGTGAGTGTACAGCAGCCTGCCAGGCTGCATGTACACTCATAGACTAAAGTACCAGTCTGGCCCAGTGTCCCTGATCACTGCCCCATTGTAGTCATAATAAATAATGTAGCCTGTCACCTGTCCCGGTACTCACAATAACACTGTCAAACACAATACCAATATCTTGATCACCACCATACCAACTCCATGATCATTGCCATATGCCATACCAGCACCCTGATCCCTGCCATATGCCTTACCAGTGTCCTGATCTTCCAAATGTCCCTGATTTCGAGGGACTGTCCCTCATTCAGAACAAAGTCACTCCGTCCCTCTTTCCTCCTCATCTGTCCTCTCATTTTGGTCTGATCTATATAGTTGTATATAAAATGCACTACTTGGATATCAAAAAGTGTTTCACAGTGATAAAACTTTCATCCAATTGTTGCATTTGTAAACTTCAAAAGCCATAATAAAGAAATAGTAGTGGTAAACATGCGCTTATTGGTTTAGCCTAGCTTTTTTTGTTACAATTCTCCTTTTAAGGGGGTGTGTCCTATGCCTACAAACTTTTGCAAGTAGGTATCCCTCATTCCCATCTCAGAAAAATGGGAGGTATGTCTCCACCATACACCACACTAGCATCGTAATGATTGCCATTCCCCATATCAGGGTTCTGATCACCCCATATGCCATACAAGCGTCCTGATCGCCGCCATACACATACCAGCACCTTGATCACCACCATACCCCATACCAGTGTCCTGATCACCACCATACACTATACCAGTGTCCTGATCACCACCATACACTATACCAGCGTCCTGATCACCGCCATACCGCATACTAGTGATCTGATCACCACCATATCAGCTTTCTGATCACCACCATACCAACGTCCTAATCACTGGTATACTTCATACAAACGACCTGATCACCACCAAACTTCATACCAACGTTCTGGTCACTGCCATACTCCACACCAGTGTCTGGCATTTTAAGGTTTCAACTGATCAATTTTCAGATATAGACTCTATAACTTTCACACAGACTAAGTAATATACACTGTTTTGGGTTACTTTGGCCTAAATTTATGAAGAAAGATTATTTACTTGCAAAATTTTTAAATAAAAACTAAGCAAAAGATGTGTTTTTTTTTCAAAATTATCAGTATTTATTCATTTATATAGCAAAAAATAAAAAACCCAGTGGTGATTAAATACCACCAAAAGAAAGCTCTATCTGTCTCAAAAACATTCATAAAATTTCATATGGGTACAGTGTTGCATGAAAGAGTAACTGTCACTCAGAGTGTCACAATGCTGAAAGCTGAAAATTGGCCTGAACTAGAAGGGGGTGAAAGTGTCTGGACTTGAAGTAGTTAATGATAAACGGTAAGGCTTTTTTGAAAACTTATACTCTGCTTTTGCACATTTTGACATGTCAGGGATTTATACAGACTTGTTACTGAAAGGTCCACTTTAAGGAGAATTTTATGTAACAGTAGATGGTATTAGCAATGAAAAACAAATATGACTGATAGTCTCCAAAAACCTACTTTTTTGGCAGGACTGCTCTCCTCTGTCTGCGGCAAGATTTTATTTGTCTGTGGATGTAATTCAATCTCTGCGGCTCGTTCACCCTGTGAAAACAAATCACATTTGGCTTCAAAAGACAAACTTACTAGCAGGAATGTTCAATTAAAAATGTAATAAAAGATTTAAAATTTACTCAAAGAAATACTGTGATGCCGTGGAAATGATGCTACAAGAACACACTGGTAGATTATAGGCCTTCCAGCCAAATCAGAGTGTTTTCTGTAACTGTGCTGGGGACATTAAATAGTAGTAGTTCCTTCAGGGGAAGGGACTGGTGTAAATGGTTCAATATTCTATGTAAAGTGATATACAAAAAAAAGTTTTAGTGCTATACAAAGGAGCAAATAAATGTACTGTATACAGTGTGTATCACATGGCAAAAAAAGACTGCCAAAACAATTTTTAACAGCCATTACAAAATGTCCGAAACATTTTAACGAACCACCTATTGCATAGCCCTTAGCTTTACATTACCTTTTTTCATGCAGCTCCAGTCCAGGCATATGATCCTGGCTAACTCTGAATGAGCCAGCACAGCTGCAGGGAAGAGGAGGAAGTATTGACAACAGATGGACCATTGAAGCCTATGGGTGATGTCACACTCCCAAGCATTACCAGCCGTTGTCAGAGCACTTTCATCTCTGCTGATGCTGGCGATGGCTGATACAGGGGAGATCAAGTGACTGGACCAGAGCCACCTGAAATTAGGTAAGTACACAGATATTTCTGAAACAGCTTAATAAGCATGGGTGTTAGTAGGGGGAGAGGACAGTTTTTTAAGAGTAGCTTGAGGAAAGCAAGCTGCACATTTTGAACAAAGCAGATAACTAGTTTGCAGGTGGTGTGAAAAAGACCAATTATGTCAAACAACCATTTCTAAACAGGGATAAGGACCCAACAACACCATCTGCCACACACATACCAGTGGTACAACGATAACCATAGCAGCCCACTGCTATAGGGCATGAAGTGGGGGAGCCATTAGGGAGGCTGTTTAGGAAACCCCAAAGTTTCTTTAATAGAAAGGCTGAAGTTAGACCTTGGTATTTTTCTCATTGTCATCACTAGTTAGAGATCCCCCTATGCAGTAAAAAGCATTTACTTAGCTGACTTAGCAGTGTAGATTTATGCAGCTAGAAAATGCCTCTAAACATCCCTCTATGTTAGCCTATGTGTCCATCCACACATAGGCATTTACAGGCATTTAGAGGCCGGGGCGTTTAGGGACAGAAATTTGAATGCACCAACATTGCACGCAGGAGAGAGGAGTGTTTGGGTAGAAAATATGCCAGACGCACCTAAACCCTAGGCACGTTTAGTGCTTGCGGGTTCATGCATTTCATTGGCCAGAATAAACTAAAACTCTAGCCAATAAAATAAACACCCAAACATTTAATGCACTTGAATGTGTCTAAACACATTGGAAAAACATGGCTTTAGGCAAGTTTTTAACGCTGCATTTCTCCTGCCATGAAAAAGACGTTCAGAAGAGCGCAGGGTGTTTGAGGCGTTATTGCCCTGTGAACTTCTGCTACAGACTAAATTTAACCCTGCATGCCTAATGCAATCATAAATCTCAAAGTTTCTCCTAGACTAAAACAAAACCTTTAGGACAACTGAGGTGTGTATTTCTGCAAAGAAAATGAAAGAACCTAGAGTTTAACTACTTCCAATTCTGGCATTTCTCTTTTACATGTAAAATACATAATTTTTTTGCTAGAAAATTACTCCCAACCCCAAACATATATATATTTTTAAGAGAGACCCTAGGGAATAAAATGGCGGTTGTTGCAATTTTTTACATCACGATATTTGCGTAGCAATTTTTCAAATGCAATTTTTTGGGAAAAAATACACTTTAATTAACATTAATGTTCAAAAAAACAGAATATATAACCCAATTTTTAATAACATATAAAAGATGATATTAAGCCAAGTAAATAGATACCCAACATGTCTCGCTTTAAAATTGCGCACACTTATAGAATGGAGTCAAACTAATGTACTTAATCTCCATAGGCGACACTTTAAAAATTTTTACAGGTTACCAGTTTAGAGTTACAGAGGAGGTCTAATGCTTTTGCTCTTGCTATAATGTCTGCGGCCATACCTCACATGTGTGGTTCAAACACCGCTTATGGGCGTGACCTACATAAGTGTTTTTTCTTTCGTTGGGCGAGCATGAGGGGATGTGGGCACTTAAAAAAAAACATTTTTATTTATTTTATTTTTATTTTTACATTGTCCCTTTCTTTTTTTTTTATTTTATAAATATTAATTAATTTTCCAAATAGGTACAAATCACAATCATTTTCTCCTTTATCAAAAGGAAGAAAAAAAAAAGACATAAAATCAATATCTTCCTATTAACATAATTTATCTATTTCCCACATCCCCAACCACCCATATCCCTTCCCCTCCCAACCCGCACCCACACAACTACCCTCCCCCCCCATCCCACTCTGCATTTCTCTTCAAACCCAAAAAACTCTTTCTACAATCCATATTTGTTTCAAGGGGTATAAATCGTCATCATATATTTCACTTTTTCTCTATACTCTTCCCATTTTTTCCACTTAATATAATACTTCTCCATCTTATCTAGATGCATATAATACAATCTTTCCATCCCACAAATCTGATTCATTCTGACCATCCAATCCTCCTCTGTCGGCACCTCCCTTTGTTTCCAGAACCTGGGTATCAGACTCTTCGCTGCGCTCAGGAAATGCCAAATCCCTGAATCCTTGTATGATCTCACTGAGAGCTCGGTGATATGGAGAAGACATAACTCTGGATCCGATCTAATATCTATCTCAGTAATTTCTTTTATTAAATAAATAATTTTATTCCAAAACACCTGTATCTTTGAGCACTCCCACCATGTGATATATCGTACCCACTTCTCCACACCCTCTCCAACACAGTGGTGAAGTTTCCCCATTCAATTTGTGTTCCACATTCGGTGTAATGTGCCATCTAACCAAACACTTATAATTCAACTCAACTTCCCACATGCTAAAATTTTCATGTATTAATCTAAACATTTTCCTCTGCTGCTCTTCATCTATTTCCCTTCCCATATCTTTTTCCCATTTCTCTACATAAATTAATTTTGTGCCCGTGTCTAATTCAGTTAATATTCTGTATATTTTTGCAACACTGTGTCTCCCATCTCCCCGTGTTTCTAGTAATCTTTCAAATAAATTCCACTCCTTTCTAGTTCTCACAGGTTTTGGGAGGCTCCCAAAGAAATGTTTCAAATGATAATATCGTATCTCATCCATTTTACTGAAAACCTCCCCTTTTTTTCTCCAACTCTCTATATGTTCCTATTTCCTCACCCACCATTATGCCTCCTAATTGCGCATCCTGTTTTATAATCCATTTCCCTGTGATATATTCCTTCCCAGGAGCAAAATAATCTGTATTTCTTAGTGGCATTAACTGTGAATTGAAAACCCATCCCTTTTGTCTGTGTAACATTTCCCAAATATTCAAAACAAAAGTGTAGACACTTGTATTAACATCTAATCCTCTATATTGAGCCCTTTCATTTTTTTTTTTTTTTTTTACACTGTCCCTTTCATTTTTTTAATCACTTTTGTTCCTATTACCAAAAAAAATTAAATATCCCTTGTAATAGTGCATGACAGGTCCTCTTTATAGAGAGATCTGGGGTCTGGACCCCACATCTCTCTCTATGCTGGAAAGCATGAGATCAAAAAAAATTTGATCTCAGGCTTTCCAGCAAAAATAAATGGCACTGTATATATCTGCCAGAACCGGACAGCTGATGGCACTGTATATATCTGGTCAACGTACGGCTCTAAGGTAACTCAGTGCCATCACCGGATTGGTTCTCCAGCTCCCCAACCGCACAGGATAGCACAGAGAGGCGTCATGGGGGTTGGGGGGGGAGGTGAAGGGCAGACATACCCTCCCGCTGCCAGTAAAATAAATCCAGCTGAAAAAAAAGATATCTGGATGAGGTCTGTAGCTGCAGGCATCACCCAGATATCCCCACTCAAAGTCCAAGACGTCATATAGCTTCATATGGGCAGGAAGTGGTTTTAAATAAGTTTGTATTAAGGTTATAGAGTAATTGTGTGCAAGAACATCAAAGTGGCTGTAAAGGATGATGGGCGTGACATCTTCAAATTTATAGAACAAACCCAGAAAGTGATCAGCTACTAGCGATTAAGCTTCGTGGTCCACATTGTGTACTAATTTTAAAAACTAAGAATAGTCAAAAGGATTTGCATCTCAAGGCAAATCACTATGAGTTTCAGTTATCATATTTCAGAAAATTTGAATTTGGGTGGTTTGCATAAATCTACATATTCCATGATTTGTGATTCCTAGACAGTTTAGTACTACTTTGACTGTACTTTGACCTGGAGCTTATGCCACATTTTTTGACTTGCTTATATTATTGTGGGCTCAAAACAAGGACACATAGAATACAATTTTCTCTGTGCCCTGTCAACCCATAATCCTACACTGAGTGTAGTGTAGAGAACTGCATAAAATGCAGCATTTTTAAATTTTTTACAGCGCAATGCATGGCACCACATAGCTTTATGTGCCAACATGCATGGCATCCTGGATGCCTCCTCCTCCCAGCTGCAGATGCACCAATGACTGTAATCCATGAGACCATTCACACACTGTGCGGTGCCAATTATTGTGTGCTGTGTCAACCTCCCCATCTTGTTGCACTTAGATTGGCGCCCCTTGCTGTCTCTTTGGCTATTGCAGGTGCCATCCAGACTATATCCAGTGTATCAAATTTTTTGCAGTTTCCTTGTTGTCCTCCCCAGCTAGAAATCCTTTTAGGAAGTACGATAAGTATAATTCATCTTACTTTAATAAATGTTTATACACCCACTACACTTAGTCTGTGCACTTTGCTCTTTTTGTCTGATTTTAGCCCCATAGACTTCTATGTTATCTCACGGCATTATATAAGAAGCGATTCCTATGCAACTTTGATAACAGAAATTTTTTTTTTACCCCACACCTCTCTTCCCAGGTCATTCTT